ATTCAAATTCAGCGGATCAAAATACATAAAAATCATACTTGATCCGGGTCAACAAAAATTTTTTCATCGCTGTAATGCAGTTTTTCATATTTTTGGGGGGTTTTTGCATTTTACTAAAATCTGGGACCTGACCGAGCCCAACGGACCTCAAATTCGGATTCAGCGGGTCGAAAAACATGTCCGTAGATGGGTCCGGTCAAATGCACAAACCACTTTTTTTTTTGTGTGCCGGTGTTATTCTTATCTAATAAATAAGTATTTTTGATGTATGTAATGTAGATTAATATAGAAAATATTCGAAAGCATTCGAACTATTCATGTATACATATTATTAGTTACATATTTTCTAGTTCAAAATGTCACTGTGTTACAAAAAGACACTTTTTCTTCTCTCTACGAAGTGCAAGTACATTTTCCGAAGATTTTTTCGCGCTGAACACGATACCATCGGCAGAATTCGCCTAGCACGTCAGGATTTTGAGTAACTTGGAATGAAAGTGATCATAAAATCATGATCTTTTGTAATGAGATGTAAATCGAAAACAGGTCTTCAGTTTGTTTAAATCATTGCGTAAAATAATGTAATTTATAAATTTTGATATTTATTACGTTTAAAATTAACATGTGATGCAAATCTGGGAAAATTTGATTCAGATTCGATTCAATTCGATTTCGAACATATTATCAAAAATTCGATTCGATTCGACGATGCAAATGCTTGATTCGCACACTTCTAATTTGCATTATTTTACTCTATATTTTTACTCATTCGTTTTATCTTGATGATGTCAGGATCACAGAGGATCTCATCAGAGTTATCGGGAGAGAGATTTGCCGCTACGAACAAGGAATGATCACATGCAGAGAAGTAGAACGCCGCCGAATGTATATCGCGATTCTTACGAGCAGAAAACCCCTAGACCGACGAATATTGCGCCCCGTGGAATAAACAGACCGCCACAAAAGAGGATTTCCGAATCCTCGGACAAGGGACCGCGGGAAATGAGCCCGAAGCGCAGTAAGCCGCCTAACAGAAATCTTCAAGAGGTGCGAAGAGTAGATACAGTAGGTGAACCCGTTGCCGATAAGGTAAAAAACTTCTTATTCTATACAAGCGACGTTCTTCGAAGCCATATAGATTTTAAATGTATATCGCAAAACTTGTAATCTCAGGAGGAAGATAGTGATCCAGAAATGCAGGAGTACCGGAAAAAAATGGAGGAACAGAAACGTCTTCGGGAAAAGTTGTTACGCGAGAAGGAGAACAGACGTAAGATGGCCGCGATAGAGAAACAAAATGAGGGGGCAAGGACCGATTCGAGTACCGCTGCAGGTAAATTCCATTGTGCTACAAAAAAAAAACACTTTCTTTGCGCTGAATACGGTGCCGTTTAAAGAACCCTAGTACATCAGCATTTTGAGTAAATTTGATTAAGTGGCCAAAGATGGCGTTTTAACCACGTTTAACATTTTATTGCGACAAAACGGAAACGGGTTTCTAAATGAACCCAACGATATCTGAAAGTATTATTTAAGTTTTCAAAAACGAACTTTGGTTCATGACCGTGCGACTTTTTTTCATCAAGTTATGTTGTTGTTTGAATTTTATACTTTTAGACTTTTTCTACATTGTGTTACAAAAAAACATTTTTCTCTCTCTCTCCAAAATGCGACCATACATTTTCCGAAGATTTTTTCGCGCTGAACACGATACCATCGGCAGAATTCGCCTAGTACGTCAGGATTTTGAGTAAATTGGAACGAAAGTGGCCAAAAAACACCATTTCATCTTCATTCCAATTTACTCAAAATCCTGACGTACTAAGCGAATTCTGCCGATGGTATCGTGTTCAGCGCGAAAAAATCTTCGGAAAATGTACTTGCACTTCGTAGAAAGAAGAAAAAGTGTTTTTTTTTTTTGTAACAGTGTATAAAAAGTCTAAGAGTATAAAATTCGAACAACTATAACTTGATGGAAAAAAAATCGTACCGTTACGAGTCAAAGTTCGTTTGAAAGCTCTTGAATAATACTTTCAGATGACGTTGGATCCATTTAGAAACCAGTTTCCTTTTTGCTGTAACAAAATATTAAAAGTGGCCAAAAATACTATTTTTTGCTACTTTCATTGCAATTTACTCAAAATCCTGACGTGCTAGGCGAATTCTTAAAAAACGGCAACGTGTTCAGCGCGGCTTCAGGAAACGTGTGATCGCACTTTGCGAGAGAATTTTGCTGTAGCACAGTGTTATTATTTCTACTACTATTGTATAATTATATTATCCCTTCTTACATCCCTTCTTCAGTCGTTACCGATCATGACGATATAACTGAAATCTTTTAGCAAATGAAAATACTCAACAAGAAGTGAAATCTGCGTCGACGTTGATGGGACTTGTCAACGACAGCGCTGTTAAAACCCGCCCTGGTGTTGTCGCTAAAGGACGCATTCGTCCTGTTAATACACAGAGCACAGAGGTACAACATTAATTGAGTAATTCACGTTTATAGTCAGTATTTATTGGTTTTTCTTTCAATTCTGAGCGATATGACAATGAAATGTTAATTGTACAATTATATAATATATACCTCTATTTTCTCTTGTGTATATATAGACTTTTGTGCATGCGAGTATGTGTGTATGCGTGTGTATATGGTGTATGAGTTTTGTACGTATGCGTGAATATATGTGTGTAAAAAAAACAGATTTTAAGATGAATAATAAATTCCTGTATCAATATAGATATAATTATTAAACAGTGTAGCTAAACAGGAATATAGGTGATTCAGTGATAATATTTTTTAATGCATTTTACAATACTTATAAAAATATTAAACTTGTTAAAGTGTCATATAAATTATATATCGATATATTTATGTATATGTGAATAGTGAACAGATTGGTTTCTTAAACTGATTAAAATTGTTCTCTCAGAATTGCAATATTACACATATTATAATGCTACACATTAATCAATTATTATTATGATTATTATCTTTTATTACTATTATAATGGAAGAAAATTCCATTTTTTAAATATTTATTAATGATTATATATATTTTTAAATAAAATATCACGTAATTTTTTTGTACAATCAATTAGAAGTCATTGTACATTTTTCCAGTGTTTTAATAAAATATACTCTTTCAATAAATTTTGTTTCTTTTATTTCCTCCAGACTAAGATGTGTATTCACGAGTTTTTAAATTCAAGTTCAAATTAAGATTCAAAATTGTTAAATTTTTATTAAAAGTTTTTTTTCATTATTCAAAAGATGCATATTTGAATTAAAACTAGTTCTGTGTCAATATCTTTTTTTTAAATGAAATTATTGAATCTACGTAACAAATTTCCCTGTAAAAAAATGTGTTTTTGTTGTAGGCAACGGACAGACCGTCTAATGTGCGAATTATCAGAACGATACAAACCAACGATCTGTCAGACACGAGCGGTTCGAAAAATAATCCCGGACACACAGCCAATCAAGTGATTGATACTGTACAAACGAGACAAGTGGTACAACAGCCCGGCCTGCGACGAGTTGTGATACAGAAGCCTCTGTTGAATTCGCAAAAGATCGCCACCACGATACAGAAAACTGTCTCGAATCTGCAAAAGAATCAGGGATTACAGCAGAAGATCCCTAACACGCAGGTTGTACAGACCCAAAAGGTTTTACAGAATCAGGGTAATACGTTGCAAAAATCGGCGATCGTCAATCAAAGAATGATGGCACATAAAGCGCCGATCGGTCTGCAGAAAACCGTGATCAACGACAGCGCGAACGTTTATAGCCAGAAGGTTGCGGGCGCGCAGCAAAACCCCCAGCGGATCGTGCTGCAAAAGTCCGCGGTGCAAGCGAAAAAGTTACCCGAGATAAAGACAAACACGGTTAAATTAGAAAACTTGGCCGCGAGCACGTCCGAGGCCCAAATCAGGCGTATGTGTCAAGCCATCGGAACCATTGAGGTGACTATATTTACATGAAAGATATTCACCTGACACATATTTTATTGATTTTCCTGTCACTTTTATTACGCACGTTTCACATATTTTTCTCATTTTTATGATTGTGGAGGACACATTTAGGCTTAAGTTTGCTTCTAAGATTAACTCTAAAAGACTATAATGATTTATTTCTGCATGCATTTTTTTAAATAATTTCTATATTAAAAAAAATCATGTTCTCTTCGCTCAGACATGAGTATCTAACATCAAAGATACAGGATAAGATATCATTCTACCATTGACAGTTAATAAATATCGACTGTTATATGTTCCATATGTATTATATTCGATCAATTGTTCTTTTAGTTTTTAATTTTCTTCAAAGATATGTATTATAGTTACATTCATTCCAAAGACATGTATTAAAAATAAGAAATTCGGCTGTTTTTTTATAATACAATATCTTTATTGTATAAAGCATTTATTTTATATAGAGTTATTAAATAAATATCAAATTATAAATTTTCTATTCCATTGAATTGTTTCACATATAATGCAATGATTACGTTGTATTAACAGCATTTATCAGATGTTATAATATAATATCCATAACATATAAATATTGAGATGTAATTACTGGAAAAAGAAATTTCTTTTATAGTATGGATACTATATTATATTTCATGTATTGCATACACATAATGTTTAATTTATTTTATATCAAATTCTGATTATATATATACAGGGTGGACCATTTTAATCCATCCAGTCGAATATCTCGAAAATCAAGCAGCCCGGGAGAGAAAAATTTTTCAGACAAAAGTTTGGTTTCGAAGGGATCATAAGATGGTACCATTGGTTTGACCTTGAAGAATTATTTGAAAGTCACATGAAAGTAACCTCAATTTTTATAAATGGCATCCCCTATTTTTTATTACATATTCAGATCGGAAGAGCACACG